CGCATGCGGGGAGAAGGGTTGGGAAAAGTGGAAATTTAAAGGTAAATGTGCATCATAAATCAAATTTCTTCATGAATGTTCATGAATGTGGTACAAATTTGTTGTTGCATTTCTTACAAGTGCAAAGTTCGTTAATAATTTTCGCACAAAGACAAAGATTAAAATGAACTGTGATTGTAGAATCCCACGTCCCACGCCTTTCTAAAAGCACGTTCTATTCTATTAGCTACTGATTTAAAATGGTCGTGCTGCTGAATAAAGATATGCGAATTAATGTTGCGAATGTGTGGTGATATCAAGTCGTTGATCATTTTGTGCTTACCAATGTGCAGAGTTTCAATTGTCTCAATAGTACTTTTGTCTAGTCATTTGTTTCTAATTAATAATAACTTTATTATTTCTTTGTTTCTACTATTTGTGCAATTTAAAAACGCTCCTAGATGACTTATGCATGTATGAAAAAATTCTTGTGGGATTCACCTCTTAACTCATTTTATTGACAGGTGTGTAACTTTAGTTTTTTAATTACTCTATTTTGTAATTAGTCTCCTCCTTGATCGACAACGAGAAGGGACACTCCCCGGAAATATTTTAGAAATTGAAACCCACATTAACTTGCAAGGGTCAAAATTGAAGTGATAACAATTTATTTCGACTGGTGTTGTTCTCCACAGCAAAAGTTCAGCTTTGTTGTTAAACCACAATGTCAAGTGGTAACGTAGATATGTAACTATTTGTTTGCTTTGGCGATACGCAATCTCCATGCATGCGTGAACTACTGTCTCATTGTCCTGTTTCATTTTTTAGCCTAATTCACACCACGAGTCTTAAACACCGTGATCGACGTGTATACATACGGAATCTGTTGATTTTGATCATTGATTTGATTTGCTGATTGTTTTTTATATCCATCCGCTATAAGTACATACGTAAGATACTCAAGTAGTTATGTTGATGTAAGAAAAACCACTTAAATCCACTCGAGTGTGTCAACGCACTCAATTTTATCTGCAAACATCATCAAGAATTAATTATATTATTTGAGAAATATCCAGCCGCAGATTCTTTTTATTTGTTTATTTACACAATCAATTCCATTTTCCCCAAATTAAAATTCAATTAGACTAACGCATAGAATACGAAATACGAATACAAGTTTTCATTTTTGCTGAAAACTGAACCGCAGGCGTAGCAGAATGTCGTAATGAGATTATTCGAATTGGGATGAGAAAAAGTAGAAATCATTCTCTTAGCGAAGGCAGTAATTGAAGACACAGTATTTTTTATTTGAAACACGAAGCGCTCCATAATTGTAGTTGAGATGAGTGCAATCTCATTAAAAATATTCGTGTCGTACATAACATAATCCTGTGTGCGACTGTTGTGTGCTGGGTGAATATTATCCTGAATTTCTGTGTACGGAAGTGCAATGGATGCGACGACGAAGGCAATTATAACAGTCCACAAGTAAAACTGCGTAAATACTTTGGGATCACCGCAAGTGAAATCTTGCTCATGATTCCTTACGTCTTAAACATAATTACTTGGCCACGAAAAGGATAACATGGCCGTTTTGTCATGACATTTCTTCAATTCACCCCAAAATATTGGAGTGATGAGTCAAATTTATTAAATTGTACTGCATATTAGTAAAATTGTAGGTTGGATTGGTAATTAGAGGCACATCAGCCAATTTATGTAGGAGCCCGGCCAGATGACTGAAAAAAGTAAAACCTAATGGTGTTTCCGTATCATTTAATGTTTAATCAGACGAAGCGAACTATGTGGATCGGAGTCGTAGAATTGTATGGTAATCACAAACAAAATGACAATTTCTGCTGCGTGAGATGGTTGTTGTGACTTGGTGCAATGATCAGCTCCAATTGTTTGATGTTTTTTTATCATTTTTTCTTGAAACCACACCATCAGTAAAACCACCCCAGAAGCATTATTCGTATCACGACTAAGTATGCTTGGTGGAAATTAAGCAGTATTATTTGAATGAAGTGCAACTCATTCCTAATTTTTGCTAATCTACTCTTCACTTGGTTTAATCTAATAAACTCTTCGATGTAGACAAGTCTAATCTGCATCCCTTTTTCTTCTGGGGAGAACATTAATTGCAAAATTTGACAGTCTAAATTTTTGTGTCATAATGACTTTCTTAAATTTGCCGTAGGGATGCGAAGATGTGATTTTTCCGCGATGCTAGACGACCATTTCCAAAAATTGTGTTAGTAACGATGATCATTTCGTTTGATTGGCGGAGGCACAACACATTGAGATGATATACGCAAATGACACTGTCTCTCGAAGGCATTTTTTATATATTTTTTTTTACCCAGGGATGATGGTGCTCTACAATTTGGTAGAAAATTATTCATCCGTCGTTCTCATTAGTAGAACAGATACTCCCATTCGGTACTGTCAAAACGCTTTTAAAATCGTACATATTGGGATGGTCTGTTTCCAAAGTTTTTGGTGAAAAGTTGCGGTTATACAAATGATGACATGACCGAGTCTTATTCACAAATGTACGGAATCATCTCAAAATCTACTTTGCGGTTTGGTGCAGAAACTTTTTAAAGCGGTTGACGACGACGGAGTGCAGTGCGACATTCTCATTAAGTGCGAATTTCATTGCCTGTAGCTGCATGTTGTCTATTCACGCTTTTTGTCACCAGCCAGCTTGGTGACATACATACATATTTCTGCATTTCTCACCAACGCTGCTAGCTTTTACCATTGTCAAACGTATTCCTTTGGCGAAAAGGATCGGAGCTTTATGGCGAATTGACTTTCGGTTGTACAAATGTAAGCACTTGGCTGTGAGGTATCCTGACTGAAGTCACATGTTCGTGTACCACTGATCGCGACTTGATGCAAATTGAAGTGGAACATTTCATGTAGGTTTTTTAGACCAGTTTTTATTACACTTTCATTAATTTAAAATAAACATGTGCATCATCAATTTGAAGATTTCAACGTCAGGTGGCTCATTTGTGTATGTATGCCCGCACGTTATGCTAATTGTTGGCCAAGAAACATTTTGGAACAATGCACACCGTCCACAATAAAATAGTACAATATGCAATTAATTGGTAAATTCCGGATTTGTAACGCGTGATGTGGTCAACTTTTACACAGATGAGCGAGTGAGTGGCAGTGGTGGTGGTCCAACCAACCAAGCATTATCAGAGTTGTTTTGGAACTAATGTGTCGATTTGCATTGTACGCGAAATACGCGAAAAACACCCAATTGCAATGTCTCCATTCACAATTGGTCACACAGTTGTCAATCCATTCGCGGTACTGCTGCGTCGTTCTTCGTTTTCTCCGCTTTAAGCAAATCCCTAATTTCTTTCGGACAGTTGGGATAATAAGTTTTCGTTTGTTTCATATCCCTAAAAAAAGTAAGGCACCCATTTCAATAGATTTGTCAAAACTTGGACACATCATTTCATTAATGTTGGACGATTCACAAGTTTGTGAGTACATGAAGACTAACACCGCAAATTTGTACAGCATACATACAAAATTTCATTGCCCATTTATAGCTCCCATAAATAACATATTTATTTTGTATTCATGATCGTCAAATTAGTCACGTTCGATTTCTAATGGAGTTTATTGTTTTAACAAAAATGTAGGTGACGCATGGCACGTCTATGTAACCCATGCATCTGATGGACATTGTTCCACCGGCGACGGCCCAATGATGCAATAAGCTATTCATTAACACAGACTTTGCATTAGAAGAATCAACATTAACGTCAAAAATTATTAATTAAAACACCGCACAGTCTGCCATCCATACATATTTACATCCTCTCTGACATGATGAACGCCTTGTTGCACATGGATTAGTATGCTCACTGCCCATGAACCCAATTCTTCTGCCAATCTCACAAGCGCATCAATCGGTGCGTTATTATTATTAGTAGTGGTTTTTATTAGCAAATGCCGTGCTGCTGGCAGTGACTTTACATTGTGCATTAAATATGGCATATGTGCAGCATTGTTGTAGGTAGCAAGAGGTTAATTTTGAACAGCGAAGTTATTATTATATCGTTTGTTTGGGGGGATTGAGGTAGCAAACACCAAAGAGCAATAGTTCGCAGTTGTCTGTGCCTTCTTTCTAGGGCAGGATAGCTGGGTGCAGGATTTTTTAGTTCAAAAAATCATAGCAGAACGTAATAACTGTTCACTTCCTCTTTTGATTTAAACAAGTGCTGCGTTGCCACCATTTACAATTATCTGTTCCTGTTAATGGAGTTATGCTGAATGCATTCCAAACACCACCAAGCATCCTTTATGTTTTCATATATATGGCTTTCCACGAATGAGGGATATCGCTCGCTATCAACAACAATGCGCCGTGTTACATGACAAACATACCAACAAACAAATACTTTTTGTACTCCTTTAATATTACACTACTGCTCGACAACGGCGACATGCGTTGTGTGTCAGTCTTATCTGTCTGACGTGGTATGTTTGTACAATAACGATGTGATTTTGGATGACGATCGCTTGTTTGTTGTTGAATATTGTTTTCAGTTCAATGTGATTATGCGTTACTATATTTTTACGTACGTTGGCTAACTCGTGTCAGGTTTTCAATTTTTCTCCCATCGTTCCAGTAGCAGTAGTGAGAAGTATCTGGGGAACCCCACTTTGCGAATGGAAAATTGTGGTGTCATTATACAATTGTAGACCATGATTGGAACCCTGGATTGTTAACTTGATAGTGTGTTATGCATTTTGTTCCTATTAAAACGCAGTAGAACATATTTCCCGTTTCTATACTTGATAGTGCTGATAATTGTTTTTATGCTGGATTTGTGACGGAAAAATCATCTTGCACTTAGCTATGTGAGAAACTTTAAGAATTTTGTGAAAATTGAGACACTTGCTGTTTCAGGAGTATCCATTCATTATTGATGATATGTAAACTTGATTAAGATATATATTGAGAAATATTGGATTGCAATTTAACAAGTTTTGAAAATAAGTACGTCCTAATGATCTGGAAATTATGGTTAATTTTAGGAATAAGTGCCTGTGGTAGTGGTTACAAATCTTACAATCTGCGAACGTTCCTATGCAATGTGTGCATACAGACATACATCATTTCTGTAGAATGTGCGATTTTAATGGTGAGAATTATGAGGATGCGTGGGATTGCCCACCTTAGAGTTAAATAGCAGCAACATAGGTTCAGTTTTGAATTACTCATTACCATCAACCCCTCTCCTGCCTGATGTGGTGGTTTTAATAATTTTTGTTGAGTAGAACAACGCCATACAGAATTATGCACAGTAGCCAAGTGCCTGCAAACAGTGGTTGACTATCAATTCGCCAGGCACGAGTGTTAGTAAGGGAGAAATTTGTACATTTCCCGTCACCATTTTGTTCAACAAATCGTCTATTGATACTTAGGCTTCTCCAGTGCTTAAATACATTTATATTGTGACATTGGAAAGTTTATTCAGGAAATAAGGTCATGTTTTTCGTCGTACTTATAGAAACTGATTGTCTACGACGGCATTCGATTGTTGAATTACATATGCAAATGAATAATGGCTACGTGGAAAATGAAGCTGAAATTTTTAAATAAATTGTTAATCAGGAAGACATTTTCAGTGTGTACGTGATAAGTTCAATCAGAGCCGAGAAGCAAAGTTTCATCGTATTTATAAACAAACCGTTTTGTTTAATATTTTATTGGTGCAGTGACCATTAAAAGTTGTAGTTCAAGTATGCGATGGGAACATTTTTAAGTATTGGTGTCGGCTAACGAGAAAAGGACGAGTTGCAAGTTTTTAAATAAATAATAGTCTCCATTTCAACTGGTTGGTAGACGAATGAGTAGTTTACTGGAGCCTTTTCAAGACAATTTCAAGGTAATTTATCACGGATATCAAAAAACTGTTTAGTCTTGTCTTGGAGATAAAATTGCACATTTTTACGTATGCATTTGACCACTTTTCATAAAAATAAGCTCGTTTTGTTTGCATAATAACTAGAAAAGCTCACCATTCTTAAAATTCCTATATGGTCACGAAGTACATCAAGCAAGAAAAGACGCATTATATTATTTTGTCATTCCAAAGATCTGAATATTCATATCATTCGTCCTTTCTGGCAGTCAAGTGGAATTTGTCCAAGATAAAAGAAGGAGGAAAGTGAGGTGAGGATGATCAAGTTTACCGAGCTGTTTAGCAGTCGCCATAAGTGGATTTGGTTGGTGGTGTGATGAGTCATTTCTTCTTCTGGTGTCTGGCAGGTTCATAAAGGCATCAGTTTTGCTCGATAAGACAAAGAGAAGTAAAAAGGTTGAGACCCAACTTTATTGTTTTTGTGAACTACAAGATTCGGGTTTCACCAACACGTCGTCATGTTCTCATAAGTTCCATGCTTGTCTGGTTTGATAGACACGCTGCTCGATTTTTCTTTTATCGCAATAAAATAAATATAATATACTTATCGTCGGACAGACTGCAAGTCGATATCTGCTCGAGTATTTCGATTCCCAGAACTAAAATACATGTGAACATTCAGAGGGTGAGATGTGTCCGATTTTGTCTTATTATGTACGTGACTTGACTTGATTCAGATAGAATAAGGTGCAAATACATCACGATTATGTTTAATGATTATTGCCTTCTGCCAAAAATGCAATTTTACAGTGGGGTTTCTCTCCTCCGTGACCTATTGGATCTGAATATGTGAGAAAAATATTTCTAGTCAACATACATCTGCCAAAAAATGCAAAAAGTATGACAGGAAAAATTTCCATTTATATTATGCAAAAGTTGAATATTTAATTTCCGTAAATTTGCAAAATTCTAAGTTACAAAATTAGAAACTAGATTATTTTATTTTGATAGCAAACAAATGAGAATTTGACGTTTTTTAAACATCTCTTTTTTTGGATTATTGCCATAAGACGGGGCTTATAATGAGCATCATTATGCTTGCTTGAGCAAAGACAATTTAATTTAAGACAAGCAATCCTGCATCCCTCGAAGAATATGACCATATCCTCCCACTTTATTTTCCTCTTGGCTGCATAATGCATATGAAACCGTGAGACGGGAAATTTGGTCATCAATCGACAAAAAACAAATCAATGGATTACTCGCATCCATCATCGTACAATTCAACGATAAATTTAATACCCAATCATCCAGTCCATTTTAAAGGTGACTATTTACTTAATGAGTTGGTTAACAAACAAAAGTTTCTGAGTAGAGCTTGTTTTCGTACATTATTGATTGTTCTTAGCTGTGTCGTTTCTTTTTTTACACGGCTTGAAAAATGTTTTGCAGGACTTGTCATATGTTTAATTCATTCATAGGTTGTGTAATATTAGTTAGCAAAGTGCAAAAAAATATGTAAATCTATATTTGTCAAAAATGTGCACATTCATAGTCTGAACTTTAAAATGTTTGGTTGGTTGGGATGATTTATTTAGCATAATAAAATTATTAACAATTCGTGCGATTTTAATCTCACTTTCCACAACCACTTTAATAAGGATGATGACACACGCTTAATTCCTAAAGTAAATTATTATCGAATCTTGTACCGTTCAAACATTTGCTGTTGGATCTCTCTTTGAACACACACACATTTTATTTTGACACTTTTTTCAAGTGAGACTTGCTAAATGAATTTGTCGTTTGACTCGATGAAAGTGAGACATGCAGGCATATGTACACTGCCTTATTAAATGTTTGCCCAAGTGCCTTTTACACATTTTTTTATGAAATTTACAAATTTTGTCATTATCAATTTTCACGATTTTCACGATAAAAGAAAAAGTCAGGAATTTAATTTTTAGCAAATTTGATTTCTTTTTATCTAAAAAAACATTTACATATTAACAATACAATTGTTATTGCAATACTTGTAATAACAACAATTTATCGTGTCGAAATGATTGAACAAAACATGATGACCACTTAATATTACAACCAATACTACATATTTTAACCAAAATAATAGATAACTCCAAATGGACAAATCAGTGTGCGATGATTAAAAGTGCGTGAATCTATGAATTTCGTGTCCTGACAAGAAATAGGCATCTGGCATTGCAAGGACGCCATAATAATAGAAATAATGATTATTTGCACCGCATACTAGATTTAAAAAGAATCTAATTAAAACGAGAAACGGAACATTTGAGTCACATTTATTTTGATTTTAATTTTATTCACATTCTTTTCTTACGTATTTCAGATTGGCAACACCATTTGCGACTCAAGAACGCAGAACGACGCTCCTTCTCGACTCTGACCATCAGCCGTCAGTCACGCTCCGCATCAAGAACCAAGAAAGAATATTATTGACAATTGGCACTCCCGTTCCTCATCCTTGTACAACAAATAAATAATTTAATGAATGTCAGTCAGTCAGCCAGTCAGTCAGTCGGATTCGGTAGGCAAAATTTGCGATTACGTTTCAATATCTGCGTCGTTTTATGATTTGTGGAAAAGAGATCAAGGAAAATCTTTTAGCAACCAAGCGGTCGCGCGTCCAACGGCAAACGGCTCTTATATAATTGAATCAAGCTGATTGGATTGGTAAACTATTTTTGCAGAGGAAGAAAATTTGGGCTTAATTGACCGGAAGCCCCCACGACGATAGCAACGCTTTACTTTACCCAAGAACGAATCACTGCATTATTAAGTAATCAAACAACACCTGTTCCACCGCTGCAATTGTTGACCGTTGAGGACTATCGGGTGGATGATACAAGTGTTTATTTTGTGTGTTTAGTAGTTTGAATTTCTTCACAGAAACATATTATTTTTACTGTCCGAGGAACACCAGCAGTGAACAAATTCCCAGAGAGGCGGCTTGACTTGTGACCTACAAAAAGGAACCAGAGCGTGGAACAATTTTTTTCATTTTATTTGTACGCATTCATGTGTTCAAGTAAAGAAAACTTACCTTGACTCCGCTGCTACTCCCACTGCAAACATTTCAAACCATGAAAAGGTGCATGAAGCAAGGAGAAGCAATGCAAAACGAGAAACAGGAAACAACGGGATTGCTTCGGTGAAAAGCAGCGTTGTTTTGTTGTTGTGTACGTAACTTACTTTTCCCATTTGTGTCGTACCCTTGAGCAATTTCTGGGTTGGAACCTCTCGTAAATTTTTACCTTATCATCATCGCACTTGGTTGTGATAGAGCATCGAATTGTGCAATTAGCTTCTTCACCCACTGACGAAATCGTCGTGTCTTCTTTTTGTTTCGAACCGACTCAACAACAACGAGTGGACTGTGTTAAACTTTGAAATCGGATTAAAAGAGGTAGAAATTGACTGACCGTGTCTTAGGGTACCCTCAGTTGGTGCAGGTGAACATATATATTTTAGTTCATTCTAAAGACTCTTAGACCATTGGGCAAGACTTGTGAACACAGTCGTAAAATTAACCTCATCCAGTCACCAGCAAATTATTTACTGTGATGTCATGTAAGTTATAATCATTACTTGTGCAAGTTTTGACAACTTTATACAAATAAAAACCATGGCGAGCCACCGTTTGAGTGGGGATGAACAAACGTTTATTCGCCATTATCCATCCACCTCCCACCTCGACAAGTACCGGACAGCTCCAAACCCCAAAATCAATAATAACAAATCAACCGTTCTACTGAACGCTTCGAGCAGCAACTTGAACTTGATGCCACCTTCATACATGCCAAAAACGACAATGTCCACATTTGCGAGCCACAAATCTTCCAATGCGGACCTCCGATACCGGGATGATCCCAACCCCTACAAAGTGAGTGACATTGGAGAGTATCGAATCAAAGTGCAAGACCCATTTGTTCCCAAGTCACTTCACAGAAGCCAACAAGTCCTCACTTTCTACAGTGATGACAACGACTATCCCTACGCCGTGGGAAATGGGAGTGAAGGGGATGCAGAAAACTTTGGGAGGCAGGTCATGTTTGACAAGTTCGAGACGACGAGCACTGGCACTGGCACGGGCAACAGCGACTTTTACCCAAGTCGTGTCCAGAGAAGTCAAACACTCAAGAGTACGAGTGAAAGTCACAAAAGTGGGAGAAGTCATCACACTGGGAGATCTAGTCGCGTGTCTGGTTCTGTAAGTATTTCCAGCGCGGGGGACGGTGACATTGAGGTCGAGTGCGAAATACCTGAGCCTGACTATGAAGGGTCGACTGCGGGAAGCTCGGAGGACATTCCACTCCCGATACCAGACTCGAGCTGCAGTGAGGAGTACTCATCCGTCTCGGCGGGGTCGGATCCAGATCACTACAATCTTGCGGAGGGTTTAGGACAAAGTCCATCTCCAGATATTCAACAGCAGCAGCAACAGCAAGACCACAGAGCTGGTAATTTATTTGTTTTTGAATTTATGGTACTTCACTTGCACGGATTAGCATATGCAAATAATCGTCTTAGATGAGCACATGTTTGTTATTACGTAAGTAACAAAATATTAATAGTGTTCTAATGTTTTACAGAAGGAGGAGCAGACAGTGGTTTGGATACTCCAACCAAGATCACAAGTGAGGAGCGAGTCAAGATAGAGTACGCTTTAAAAGGACGGAAAACCACGGTTTTTGTGGCAGACTCGCTCGCAAACTTGTACGTCATGAAGAAATCCGTCGTGGGGTCGAGGTCACAAAGGACTGGAACTTCAGACGACTGGGTCCTCAAATATACAGGCGTCCCAGTCCTGCTCCTCGACTCTGGCGAGACCAAATCCAGGGACAAGCGACAAATCAAGATCGTATTAGCCGAGTTGGGCTCGGGGCTCGCCTTGTGGAAAGATGTTATCGATAACCTGACCAGTTATAAAGTCATGGAAGGATCCAACACTTTCCACTCCTTCCACTTCTCCCTAGACCACTCCAAAGTAATTGGGTTGAGCTTTGATGATGAGGAAAGTGCTGTGAGTTTCTCGGAAAAAGTGGACAAACTTACCTCTGATTTTGCAAACATTAGCCTCTCCGGGTCCAAGGTAAGGAAATAATTATAAATACTGAATAAATTAGAAGTTGAGCTTATTTAAGTTTATTAAGTTTGTAACAACGATACAAATAGACTAGTTCATTAATAAAACAAAAACAAATTATCACTCATCAACAGGCATATTAAATTGTGCTCCAGTCAGGTTAACATGATCGATGTTCTTCTGGGGCATATTCACATTCGTGAGGGCAGCATTGAACAAATCTTTCAATTCTTGGTTGTACTTTTGGAAAAAATACTTGCTTTCTCCGGTGGACATGATTTTGACGCAGTCGTAGTAAAGTCTTGCAAACCACTTTAGCTGACAAGCCACGATGAGTGAGACTCCATACACTTCAAGGGGGAAAGCCAGGTCGGGACGCATTTCATGACCCTTTGCGCGTTCTGCTCTTGCTGATCCACACATCTCAACCCAACTTTCACTCACGTGCTCTTCGTCATTCTCGACTTCGTTGACAATTTTTTCACAGGCATTGACGATGTCCGTCCACAATTGACGAGCTACTTCTTTGATATCATCAAATTTGGTAAAACAAATACTGATATCAACCAGCTTCCCATTCTTATCCACCCATGGGATGACATAGAGTTGATACGTGCATCCGAACTTGGCTAGAAAACCATGCCACATATTAAGTTAGAGTTTCATTGGATATTTAGCGACAATGTAAACTACCTGTTATATACTCAGGTTTAAATGGCTTCTTGTCGATTTTACGCTGTGATGGAGAGAAAAATATTTCTTTTCCAGTTGGTGTGACATGACCTAGTTTTGCATGAAGATCCAAATTGAACAATTTCTTTACCAACATGAGACAATCTGGACATTTATGTTTGACATCTGCAATAATAAAATATATGAAATTGAATTCAGGATAAGGTTCGTTTGTATAAAATAATATTAAATTTACCAAAATGACTGGACATAACATGATGTTTCATGTTCGGATAATCTTTCCATGACCTGAGTGGGCATTTTTGGCAACCAAACAACATTAGCTTCAAATGTTTTGCAAGCACATGTGTCTTTGCATTCCATATAGTAGCAAAAGTTGTTGGACAGGGTTGCAAAGGACATTTTAATTTGACATTTCGGTTTCCTCGAGCCTTGTCCTGTTCCTCTAAATTTGCAACAGCATCATTGTATTCCTGATTGTCAGTTGGAGGAGGCAGTTTGACAAAATATTCCTTGATGCGCATTTCAGGAAGAACTTCTGTGGCTTGCTTAACGTTTTCATACTAAAATTAAATATAGATCTGTTAACATAATTGTATAGTTTAATATTTTTGTGCAATTTAACCTTGTCTATGAAACTCCGAAGAGTGGAAAATGCCATTCTTTTCCTTCCAGCCTTTGACTCATCCATTTTAGCCTTGATCTTTTCAAAAATATCGTCAATTTGTCCAAGTTTCCAATCTTTTAAATCCACCTGCTAAATTCATAATCATAATAGTAAATCATGTCATATCATAAATCTTGGGCTACAAACAAACCTCTTTTTCTACTAATTCATCAGGGTCTTCTAATTCATCAACCTCATCGTCAGTGCTTTCACCAACCGTGACGTCATCGTCATCATCATCAAATGCTCCTCTCAACTCCTTATTTGCTGCTGCTGAACTTGTCCCTCCCCCCGTTTTCATGGACCGAGTGACCCTGCGTGGAGTGGACTGATATCCTAATTACGCACGAAAATGACACATGATTATCTCACAATCATTCAGAAATGACTTTCTCCAGAATCATGCAAATACGGGACACTAACCGGATGAGTTCGATGACTTTGATGACGACATTCGAGCTCTCTTTGTGGGGGTCGTGTCATTGTCACTGCTACTAATTTCTCCTTCGTTATCATCATCATCAGTGAAAGAATCACTTTCATTTCCCTCCTTTCTCATTATTTTAGGTAGCATATTTATCTGCATAATTACTAAATTAGTTATTAAATAATGAATAATAATAACATAATCATACTTACATTTTCCAAACAGAACACTACGTTAAATTTAACCGGTTTATTAAACAATTAGGTTGGATTATAACAATCCACGTTACAATTTAAAACTACTCACTACACTAGACTAAAGTTATGATTGATGTAATGTATCGGAAAGTAATTGAAAATTATTATTATTCGCCCTTTATTGATTCTTTTAAATTGGAGAAATATACTCCAGGATAAGACAAAATGTGGTGGGAAGAGGAGAGTATTATTAAGAATATTCCTTGTCTTTGCTTTTGAACACACTGACCACCACCAAATTGCATAACGAATTCTTAATGAGAGTCCATCAGTGAGGCCAGGAAGAGGTTCCACTTTGGTTTGCATTGGGGTGGGAAAAGGAGAGTATCTTGTATTTGATTTTTGTATAATTGTATAACATATTCATAATGAGAGTCCATCAATACGATGGTATGAAGGGGAGCTTAATCTCTCATTTGGGTAAAATTTGGGTCATTCAAATATTGGTTATTTTACTAAACATCTCATATCTAAATATGCAAAATGTAATACTCTAAATTATTCCTAGAATTCCAAGAAGAATAAAAAGGAAGCAAAATCTTCAAAATCAGCCAAACCTACCAAATTTGTGAAACCGAAAAAGTCAGAGATTTCGCAACCTTGTTGTTTCCATCACGTGTCATCCCTCAGCTCCAGTGACACGGGTCGTCTCTCATCTCTACAAAATTTCATCCTCAACAGTGACACGGACACGGAGACTTCCGCATTTTACAGAAGTACTCCAACCCCCAGTGCTTCAGCGTCCTCCGTCTACTCGCCCACCTCGCTCTCCATCCCAAAGTCCGTCGTCGGGGTGAACAGCAGTGGATCTGAAATTTCGTTCTGATTTCGTTCACACGTTTAGACGAAGCATATGCCATTTTACAAGGTGCAAGTTAATATCCCCGTTGTAAAATAATTATAATATTTATGACAGACTGAACATTTTAAGCAACGATTTTTTTTCTCCGTTAAATTAAATTTATAATAATTCACAAGACATGCTAATTCAATGTGAGGTATGGAACGAGTGAGGAATGTGGTGTGTTCTGTAATTGAACTTGGATGCATGCAAGCGTCCAATTTACTTTAATCTGTGCCTGCTTTCTTAAGAATGATTCTAAGTAATGTTGTTGCAGTTGTTTTGATATTCATAGATTGCTGATGCCGTGTAAAGTTTAGTGATTAGTATGTTGTGTGAAACCCCTTATTGTTCTTGTTACGTCACCATCGAATGAAACTGTTTTGAAACTTTTGTTTTTCTAGGATAAATATTTATGGGAAACATCACTGGGACATTCCAACCTAAGATATAACAACATTGATTAAGTTACGGTGAAGTTAGGCGAGAAGATGTGTAACTAGTGCATGTGTCAAAAAATTAGAAAAAATTAGACAATTAGAAATTCCTATCAAGTCAAAAAACTTGTAATATTTAGTAAATAAATTGTAAACTGGGTCATGTATGTAACAGTAAAATAAACGCAATTTTAATATATTATTTATATCCTAAATTTTGCTTTAGCTCGTCCAATTTGTACATATGTAGCAAACGAATCAGCAGAACGAGAAGCCCCATCACTTGCAGAAACAATAACTGATTCCATCCTCCGATTCCATTGTTCTTTCATCAGACGCATATATCCATAGCACACAAATTACTTATTTATGATCCACGCCTGTCCAGTTTTACGCTACGCATCTATGCATGCACGACTCTGGTATTAATTGTTGTTGCGGTCTTTGTCCTGGCGTGGCTGATAAATTTCTGTATCTATTTACATGTCCACATAACTGCTTACTGTATTTACTTACTGGTTGGTTGGTTGGTTGGCGGAGGAGGGGATCATCATTATCCATCCGATATATGAAAATGAAATGCATTGAGGTCGAAAACAGGTCCGGGAGAGCGTGATGTATGGGTTTAGATGAATAATGCAAACTCGCTCTGGAATTGGAAACAATATGACCTTAAAATTGAAGAACTATTAATCAGCAAAACTGCCACAGCAGGAACAACAACGGAAACTACTCTCCTCTGTTAGAAACTGATTTTATGCCTGGCTTATTAAGTTGGGATTTCGCAACAACAATTCAATGAACGGTTTAGCCAGACTACGGGTGAAGGAAGGAAGGAAAATGAAATATGAAATTGCTGTATTCTCTCGTTTTTCAGGAGAAGAGCCAAAACCAATACATACGTATGTTTCCATTCTGAGGAATAAAATCCAAAACTTGCAGATTCCAGAGTGCACGCAAAAAGTGTATGAAATCGAGTAAGAGTTCCCACTAACCAGTTTTAATATTAATATGTACATATTACATATTACTCTCGGGTTGCAGCAGCAGATGACTCATTGGATACAAAGGAGGAGAAGCAAAAAACATGAACTTCTTCTCCGATTGATGATAACACCCGATTGTCAATAGGAAGGACAAAAGAGTGCTGAAAATAATATATCAATTTTTTTTACTTATATGCACACATATATCTAGCAGCACCACATTCATTACACGAGCATTTCACTTCCGAACTGCAACGTGCTCGAATGACGGTTGAGAGTGAATGAGAGTTGGCACAATGTCCCATGCAAAATCCGTGATCCACTCCACAATCCGCAATTGTGCGATCTAATGAGAAGTTAGCGTAGCGTAAGGGGGGACGGAAATAGTGCCAGAAAATCCTGTGAGTGCCACCTGACTCTAAAAATGAACTCGGTCTGGCCCCAAAATAGCATGGAATCATAAAGAATGACACTCACTCGGTACGATCAGCAACTATATCGGCTTGATCTACTATTTACATGTCTTTTGACTCCTTTTCAACGTGCCGAAGGAATTGTAGTGTAGAAAAACGTAAAGAAATCGCAGCCACTCTGAACCTAATGAGGGTATCGTCGTGTTATGACATAAGCGCACATGTTCATCCTCCTTTTTCCCGTGTTGTTGTGGGTTCACCAGGCAGGACGGGCAGATGCCATGCATTCGTGGTGTTCAACTAAGTGAAATAAATATTCTTAGCAAATCAAGTTCAGGAAAAAATTTGCATACAGGAACGAGTACACGATATGGTCCAGGTGTTGAGCATGAGCAAATGTTTCATCGCGCTCATTCCACTGATTTTTCTACCAAATCATCCAATTATATGGTAATTTGTCAAACTGACTACTTTTGCAGATTGCACATGGGATGAGGAGGAGGAGCAGGATGGGGCTCAAAAATCGGAACGAGTTCTCCTGAAAGCGGCAACTTTCATGAAACAATTGGAGGAATAAGTCTCCTTCAATCAGTCCGCATCACTGTTTCTCTTCGGTCGGATTATGACGGTGTTCTACTTTCGATTCGCATGCAATCTCATTTGTTGGAATATCAATAACTGAACCAGCTCCATTTGGCTTCGTTCGAAATTCAGAGAACGAGTCAGTCTGAATTGTGCGAGAGACAAGAGACTTTCCACAAACTTTCTAGATGAAGTCACTCTGACGTTTGCCTGATTCCTTCAGTTATGCGACATCAAATTTCTCCAACTCCCGCATCTTTACGTGTTTGCCATGAAATATCGTCGTACAAAAATCATGAAGCAGCTCTACATAAATAAAACTGAGGAATTTACCTCCAAGGTTAAACATTCTGGTAAATAATGATTGAGAATATTGCCCTAGAATAACGTAATGATATGATAATGCCGCCCTAAAATATTAAAATTGCCTTCCCTGAATGTTCATACATATTCCCCATCGCTCTGTTCTTATGACTGTCCCAAATAGAAATTCTAAAAATACTTTCACCTGCATTGAACTTGTCTCCTTTTAGAACAATGGAATGGACTGAACCATTCTCTCTCACACTGTTTTGTTTGTGTGTTTATACAAGTTGGAGTAGTCACGAGTTAAAGTAATAAAGTTGGTGAACGGACAGGTCTGAGTGAAAGCAGGACAACTACTTTTTCATCACCTCATGCATTTTTATCGAGCTCTTTCGCCCAGAGGCCATGACAGGACGGGAACTGTGACAAAAAATATTCACCCCGTGTTCAGTGTTCACAGCTCTTTTTGGGAAAGTATAATGAGTGACGAAGACGGTGCGGGTGGGTATTGTAGTGCATGATCTACATACGTATACAACACTCACCAGGGCGTGGAATCCTCTTTGTGAGGAGGAAAGCAGGCATGTGGTGGCGTATGCTTGAGCACTCTTTAATACTGTGCGGATGAGACAGATGTAGTCGAGTATGAGAAAATGATAAAAGGATGGCTAAGAATTTGGTGAAAGGAAAAAGTATGTAAATGCAATCCAGTGGAAGTCCTTTAAGGTATTTATCCGATTTATATGTTCTTTGCAGGCGGTGCTCCATGGTGGCAATAACATTCATCGAATATGTGTATAACTCTGGCTGCTTGGTTGGTTTGACTTTTTCATGCCCCACACAATTGACGGTCATGATGCACTTGGTTTATTCGACCCAACACGCCCCAAACACTCATCACTCGGGCTGAAGGTCTGCTTATAATTTCAATGCTGATGAGCTGTGCTCTGCATCGTGAAATCTGTACCGCTGGATGCAGACTCTGGTATGAAAGTGGTGGTGGTGGCAGATGCAGTATGAAATCCTCGTGGGGAAAGTGAAAACTCGGTAAACTCAAATCACATTAGACTCAACGGAACCAAATTTCGTCTCAAGAAAGTAGACCACCCCTCCTCCTTCCCCCACTTCCAGTTCAAATATATTCATAACTTTATTACAAATTCAAACAAATTGCCAACTCCAGGCCAAATTCCAATCCGAATATCACAACAATATCCTGAGTCGAGGTGACGAATTGGAACGACTTCATCGGAGGAGACAGCTTCGGCTTGCCAAACCAAACTCATTGTGACATATTCTCCTCCTCAATATTATTCCCGAAAGAGTTTGAAGGGTTTCTCCGGCTGGATTTTTACATTCCACTTCTCGCTTTTCCCACTACGACACGATTTTTCAAGGACCAACCTACTCAACCCAATTTTCCATCCTGCGATTCTTAACATCAGCACATTTTCTATTGGTTATTATGTTTTGAATATGAAATTTATTTTGAAAAATAGCCCAGTATTCGGCCCATCACGTTCCGCATTAGATTGAACAGCGTCGCAAGAAAATGATTTTGATACTCGAGCGATCTATCCACCATGGCCACTTGAAAATGTGTTTAGAGGAAAAATATGTGGCTTTCGCACGATTACGAGTCACACATTTTCACATACACGCATGAAACCAAAACACCGCAAACGGTAACTTTCACTACCCGGATATCGGCGAGATTTGGGCACGGGAGAGAAGAAGCAGGAGCGAAGAAAGAGCAGTCAGTAGACGAGATTCGATTGAATAGTACAAGTCATCACATCACAACTCGGGGATTTTGCAGTACGAGTGAGACTGCTGGCTGCCCAAAGTTGGTGAAAGTTTGCAAAGTGATGCACACACTCGTCTCGTCCCTTTGGAAAAGAAATGTCATCGCTGTCGTCCGTACTGCTGAAACGTGATCAAGGGGAAAGCGAAGGACTGCAGAACCAGCAGCAGCAGCGCCCGGGTTCGGAATTTCGGTATGGAATAAGTAGTTGGACTTCTCGTGTGGCCCTGTAGTCTGTAGTTTGGTGTTCAGGACTCAGGAGCTCAACATTCGTCGCTCCTCTCCTGATCCCGAAGAAACCACTTCTGGGACCTTCTCACCCACCTCCGACCGACTAAAGTAATAGTTTCAGAGATTCGACTAAATTTCAGTATTCTGTGAAGCACCCTTCTACTCGACCTGACCTCAGGAACGGTGGCGGTGGTTTTACTTTCACCCATTCGTTTACCCTCCCTTGTGCTCCTCTAAAGGCTAGCAAAATTCAGCCGCACGAGAATTGTCATTGTGAGACTGGTGGTGAATAAATGGTAGGTCAGAAAAAGAAGGAGAGCGAAATATCACACTTCTCATCAAAAATCTGGAATCTATCCAAAAATCATATCATATGCAAAACGAAATATCCCACCATAATTGAAATCATATCATATTATACAAAAACACACAGCTCTAGTTTTTTAAGGGAGCAGTGAAGAATTTTCCAAAACTTAGTGATCAAAATATTATTGCAAGTGTGAAAAAAAATGTCAATCAAACCCAAATCGGCTCGTAGCTGTCAGGATTCAACATCATAACCGGTACGTGTGACACTAATACCTCTTCTGCTCATGCTTCTTGGTCAGTATAATCTTTATCTGTGGACATCATATTTTTTCCAATTATTTCTCACCCCCGCTTGTCCCCTGAGTAGTAAAATATGCACCCTTTGAGAGAAAAGTACTCCTGTATGTATAACAAATTTCAAGTTTATCGCTGATTTTTAGTACATCTTTTCCCACCGAAATTCAATCTCGTCATGAGAATATGACAAAACTTTTTCATCCCGGGCGGACGGAAATAAAAGACTCCGCAATCTTGCAAATTATATAACCCTTTCTTCTTCCCCTCCGCAAAATCCTTCCTTCCCA